GCAGTTGAATTTCAATTAGTTTCAATTAATGCCATAAACTGTTATAATGTATTAGGTTGCTGGGTTCTATCTGAACCCCCGCCCCGCCAGCTAAACCCTCCGGGTTTTGTTTGCTGTTGAAAGCCGGTGATGTCAGCTCTTCTCCAGGATGCTGGAGCAGTTCTAATAGTTTAGGATAATTTACATCTATAAACCCATCCAACTCCAGAGCCCCCAAAACAATTTCCTTCAGACTGGACTCATTCCATCACAGAACAACTGTTTCTCCTTTGGAAGCAGAGGGAGGCATGATAAAACAGCCGGGGGTTGGAGGGAGGAGACTGGTGATGCTTTGGGGGAGATGTTTGTGCATTTCCAAAGGGCAGAAATTCAGAGGAAAGCTAACTTCCTCTTAGTTAAAAAAAAAAAAAATCATTGTTTCTGCTACCTAGAATCCATCTGTCCTTTTAGAACAATCCCTCCATCATCCTCAGGACAAGCCCCTCTTCTTGAGTCCCTGGGCTTCAAGTTGGGCTTGGACTGTCCCAGGAGTCAGGCATGATTCTTGGGTGGACATTTGACTCAATCCCCACCCATGAGACACAGGAGATTTTTTTCTCAGGCTCTTGGCAGAAGGGCCCTATCCTCGGTGCCCCCCTCCCTCCAACCCCACCCTGAACTACCGAGAAAAAGGAGAATTAGCACAGAGGGAGCAAAAGCTAACTCTGATGAAAAACATCCACATTCTTTCTGGCGTAATTAGGAACCACGAGCTGACAGGCGGAGTGACGGTAATGGATGCGGGAACAAAACCCTGCTCCTCCGCTTCATGGAGTGCCAACTTCTAGTTCCCTGCTTCAAATGCCGTCGGCCCATCACTGATGTGGAAATAAGCTAAATGCGGTCTTGTGCCAACAGGACCACCAAATGGATCAAAGGTGGCTGCTTCCAGCCCTTCCCCGCCAGCATGGTGGCCCCCACCCCCAACCCCAGTTCACCCCGCCGTGGGTGCCAGAGACGGGGGTTCACCTTTCTGAAGTGCTGCTGCATACACAGCATCACCCTTGGGACCCCAACCTCTAAAAAGTAACCAGTTAAACCCAGACTTGGCTGGACACTGAGGTTCCCCCCTCACCCCTCCACTTCCCCATCTCATTGCTGCCCTCACAGAGTCTGCCCGACCCAAGTTGTTGGGCCATGGGTTTTGGATACAAGTCAGACGTCCCCAACCTCTCTCTTCCCTTGCTTATCCTGCCCCCCTTTAAGTCTGAGCTCAAATCCTCCTTCCTTGGGGAAGCTGTCTCCAAACTTCACATCCTCCTGGGCTCCCATGAAGGCCGTGGTGCCCCTCTACAAGCAGACTGGTGCCTGGTGTACACGGATCTCCATCTTTTGTGTAGAGACCGTGATAGACTGCACCATCAGCAGGACGGCAGGGGCTGAGATATACACCCGGGGAACCTTCACGCACAGCAACAACCCCAGGGCACAGCAGTAGTGGTGGTAGCAAGGCTAAGGACAGCCTGTATGACTGAACTCTTACCATGTAAGAGACGTGACCCTGAGTTGGACATGAAATAGCTTATTAATCTCGTTTGCTCCTCACAGCAGCCCATGTGAGGAAGATATCTGGAATGGGACTAATTGAATTCATCTGAATAGGGCTCTAATTATGGAAAAGCAACAAAGAGAAAGAGCTTCCTCAAGGCAGGAGGTTAACGTTTTTCTTCCCAACTTCTCTTAGAGTCCTCTGAAAAGGGTCACTAGCCTAAGTTGAATGAACTTGGCTGGATCGGTTTCTCAGATGCCTTCCAGAGCCTGAGCCAGGCCTCTGACTGTTTAGACGACCCACTTGGGAGATTCCCTAGGGGTATCGTTAAGCAATGGACCTGGAAACCAGCCTACTCTTAAGATAGGAAGCTAATGTCTACCAACGTCCTAACCTGTTCATTCAGTAGAGAAAAACAGGCATGAATGGGTTTTATGCAATGGCTAATGGGAGACATTCTTAAATCTTGCAAAACCATTTATTTCCCTTTAAGTGGATACCAGAATCTCATCATCTTTGACCACTAGTTAAGGCAATGCAATAGCATGGATGCTCCTCCCCCATTTGAAAGCCAAGAACTTTTTGCTTTGGAATTTCTAAGTACTCTGCCATAAGCATTCAGAGTTAAGAACTTTCATTGTAGAATATTGTACACCAGTACCCCTCACGAACACAAGCATAAAAATTCTTCTAAATGTGTTAGCATTCTGATTCCAGGAATAGGGATATAGGAATTTTCATCTTGACCCATTAAGAATTATTCCAAGATGCAAAGTTAGTTCAACACTCAAAAATTAATTAAGGAAAAAAGAATTAATTAAGGTAACTCACCAAATTAATGGAGAAAGGAGAAAAAATTATCACCTCAATAGATGCAGAAAAAAGCATTTGATAAAATTCAGCACTTATTTGTGACTGAAAACTAGAAACAACTAAAAGACATACTTTTAGATGAAAGTGAAGTGGGAACTTTTCCATCTAAAATAGGAACGAGACAGGAAAGTCCACAATCACCATTCCTGTTCAACTGATGGTCATTGACAAGGCAATATGGCCAAGAGAAGGCTTAATAGGTCTACAGAGTAGAAAGAAGCTGAAAAAAAAGAACTTGCATTGCCACATGCAAAGGTCCTTTTTTTGGTCAAAAGACTCCTGAATCCTAACCCTCAAAACAGCCAACAGCTCAATTAAAATATTACATTGTAACAGGACTGAGCACGGTCCTAAGACATAGTCATATTTTGTATTGAATCACTGGTTTTGTGTTTTCAGCAAGTTTAAGGTCTGGACTTGACGAAATGGGTCCCTGGTGGCTCAACTGGTAAAGAATCTGACTGCAATGCAGGAAACCCGGGTTGATGCCCGGGTCGGAAAATCCCCAGAGAAGGGAATGGCTACCCACTCCAGTATTCTTGCCTAGAGAATTCTCATGGACAGAGGAGCCTGGCAGGCTATAGTCCGTGGTGTCACAAAGAGCTGGACATGACTGAGTGACTAAACAACAAAGACAGCAATGTCACAGACTCTATGGATAAAGGCAGGGTTCTGAAAACTATGATTCACCTATTTTTGTAAATAAAGTTTTATTGGAACACAGTCATGTCCCTTCACTGACACATTGTCAGTGGCTATCTTGCTACAGCAGCAGAGTTTGGTAGCTGGAACAGAGACCATATGCCCTGCAAAGTCTGAAATTTTTACTATCTGGCCCTTTATGGTAAACGTCACTGATTCCATAGGTGTACTTAGGTCATAGGGCAGAGATTAAAGAACAGCTAAAATATTGAAACAGGTTTAAATACATACAGATCCAAGCTGAAAATAATGCCAAGTGCTAATGCAAATATTAAAATACTTCATCAAATTTTAATCTGGGTTCCCAGTATACAGCTATATATATGTAATTATATATATGTGTGTATATATATGTATCTCCCATACCTGCCCAAAGATTTCAGACCCAGTTGGTTTTATGGGTTATTTCTGTCTAATTTTTAGGTGATGCAAAGTATTTCTGACCCCAGAAAAATGTGGAAAGATTCCCCAAAACATTTTGTGAGTCTAGCATACCCTCGATTTCAAAACTGGACAAGCCAAGCATAAAAGAGAAAACAGGCCAATCTCACATATAAGTTTTGATTCAAATAGCCTTTAAGTATTAAAAAATTGAATTCAGCAATGTATTGAATTCCCTTTGATATCTATTTTTTTATTTTTAATGAAGTAAGTGTAGGAACTTGAGAGTTAACCAAAAAGTTCCACTAAAAATTAGAAGAAAGTATATAATTTTAATATATTAATTATAATAACTAACATTGATTATAATAACTAACATTAATTACAATGTGGTATGCTAAGTTGCTCAGTCGTGTCTGACTCTTTGCGACCCCATGGGCTGTAGCCCATCAGGCTCCTCTGTCCATGGGATTTTCCAGGCAAGAGTACTGGAGTGGGGTGCCATGCCCTCCTCCAGGGGATCTTCCAGACCCAGGGATCAAACCTGCGTCACTTACATCTCCTGCCCTGGCAGGTGGGTTCTAATTGTTAGTCATAATAACTAATATTAATTATAATAACTAACATGATGAAATTATGTTTAAATAAATACATGCCATAGATTAATATGTTTGATTGTATATATACTGATTCCCCATACTCCAGTCACTTAGTGATCCTTCGATCCCTGGACTGAATTGAAGGCCTGGGTTAGAAGACCAGCCCATTGCAGGCAGTTTATAACCTGACCGAGGCCCTGATCCTCCCTGTGCTTTCAGTAAAATGAAGAGGCTGCAGAAAGTCGCCTCTAAAAGTGGACTCCCGGGTTTCAATTCAAGACAAACCGGCAGCCAGGCCCTGTTCTGGTTATTCTATTAGTCGAACAATTTCCATGAACCCAAGCGGGAGAGAGGAAGACACTTAAGAAGACACTTCGGAGTGGCAGAGGCATTTGTACAAATGCTTTCCCCTCTCATTTGGATGCAGAAAGTGGCAGGCGACTCGACTGTGTGCGTCTGTGGGAACGACTGTGCGGGCAACCACGACGGAGAACAATGGGTGGTGAGAGAAAAGAGCCCTTACGACTCAGACCTTTCTTTTTCTTCCGAGGTCTTTTCAGCTTCACAAAAGGAGACATATTTTCCATATAATTGCTAAACATGTTTGCTTATTAAATTATTCTTTAATTAGTTAATGATTTTAGCCATGCTTTGCTCTTCGGATATTCATTTCGTGTAATAAAATAATTATAGATAATTAAACTATCTCCAGCCCTTTTCTTTCCCCGGGCAAACATGCTGGGTATCCAAAAATGACAACAAGTTGTAAATTAATCTGGAAAACAAAGCATGACAGATGAATGATTTGGTTGGAATTAATTAGGCACTAATTATACACTGGAACTAGACGAAGAATAAGACTCATTATGGAAAGAAAACGTTGTTCTGAAAAGATGCACGGGAACCAGCATCCTTACCTTCAGCCGTGATGGACTTGTTCTTGATCCAGGCCAGGGCCCTCAGGCAATCCTCCTCATTGTTGAGGGTGAAATGATTACAGGGAATTGGGCCGGTGTACCGCCGCAGGCAGCTGTTTGAAACCTCTCTGTTGGTCGGATGGAGGCTAATATCCACCTCCGTCGGGCATGGGACCTGAGGTGCATTACAGAGAGATGCTTATTTCAGTGGTAACAGGTGAAGCGTTCAAACAGTAATTAATTCACTCACTGACGGATTCACATAAACAAAGCAATGCCCAGTACAGGAGTGCCTTTTTCTGTCTCCAGATAGAATCAGGTTTTAATTTAAAAAAACAACAAAACAAAACAAAAACCAGACAGGTGAAATGGCCACTTGGAGTTAATTCTCAAAAGGAACTGCCCTGGTCATCTTGATGCTATGTAACAAATTATTCCAAAGCTTGGTCGTGAGAAACCATCAGGAGGCTCCCAGGTTCTGGAGGTCAGCCATGCAGACAAGGCAAAGGTGGGGGACAGTAGGTCTCTTCGGAGACCTCAGCTGGGAAAACCTGAAGGCTGGGGGTGGGGACTTGATGGCCAAGGGCTGGAATCACCTGGAGATGAACTCAAGCCTTTTTCTTCCCCCAAGAAGACAGGGTGGGTGTTTAAACAGATGACAAATCATTATCAGCCTGTGTCTACAGGTTGGTCCCAGCTGGGGCGGGGGACTTGATGCCACATGAACACCATGTGACTTGAGCTTCCTCACGACTGGGTGGCTGGGTTCCAGGGCTCACGTCCTGGGAGAGGTCAGCAGTCCAGAGGGCTCACGGTCTTCTCTAACCTGGTCCTGGGGAGCCCAGCAGGGGCTCTCCTAACAGGTTAAGTCATGGAGCTCATCCCTGGCCAGGGTCAAGGGAAGGGAAATCAGGATCCACCTGCTCCCGTAGGAGGGACGGGGCCGTGGAAGAGTCTGTGGAACTGCATTTGATGTGGCCATTTTTGGTTTAAAAAAAAAAAATCTGCATGGAAGCGACTGTATCAGGGATTGAAATTCAAGTGCACAGAGGGTCAAGACACCAAATGAGAGAAGTGGGCTACCCCTTACTTGTGAAAATTATTGGCTTCTCTCTCACTTTTTCAAAGAAGTATTCCTCCCCAGCCTCGCCCTCTCTCTCTCTCCCACTCATGGCGGAGCCCTTCCAGTATAATTCCCGTTCCCTGACTTTTGACACAGACACAAGTGAAGACGGATGCTTTCCTCTGACATAGGGAAAGCAACAGCACCAGCATGATCATGGATACTGGCTGGCTCTGGTCCTCGTTGTCCAGGATGCTGTGATGAGCTGGATGGCCCAGACCCCAGCCAGAGTGTTCAACCTGGACTCAGCTACATCCAGTCACTGCCAGGGTAGTCTTGGGGTTCTGGTTGGCCAGATCTCATCTCTCAAGAAATGCCAGATACTTGGTGTCTTTTTTTTTAATGTGGACTCTTGATTTGTTCATTATTTTGGTTCAAATGAAAATCAAACAGACAGGCGCTGTCATGGAAGCCAAGTTAAAGGGCAGAGTGAGACGGGTATGCCCGGTGTACCCCTCGCTGCCCTGCTGGGTAGCATTTGGTGGCCAGGTGGAGATTATGGGAGATGGCGAGGCTGGAACCTACGGCAGCCTGGCTTCTATCAGAGGAGCCAGTGTCCTGCTCGCTTGTGGCCTGAGGCCTAAGGGCGTGAGGCCAGACTCCTATGGCTACAGAGGGCAAAGTGTTCACTGGCCGCAGAGACCAACACGGGCTTCAAAGAGGCTCTTCCTCCCCTGAGGACCACAGGCAACCCCTGGCCATGAGGGGGATGTGAATGCTGGCTGGTGCCTGAGCATGTGGGGCTTCACTAAACCCCAGATGACATTTGGAGAACTTGCTGGTACATCCTTCCTCAAGAGAAATAGTAAAGTGTGACTACACGACTGTGATATATGTAATTCAATTTCAAGTGGGACTAAAGAACAAAAAAATAGAATCAATTTTTAAACCTGGATGTCTTTTCTCTGTGAGGAGGCTGGACAGAAACTATGGTCATTTATCACAACTAAAGGGCTTCCCAGGCGGCGCTAGTGGTAAAGGACCTGCCTGCCCATGCAGGAGATGTAAGAGATGCGGGTTTGATCCCCGGGTCGGGAAGATCCTCTGAAGGAGGGCATGGCAACCTACTCCAGTACTCTTGCCTAGAGAATCCCCACGGACAGAGGAGCCTGGCGGGCTGCAGTCGTAGGGTTGCAAAGAATCAGACACGACTGAAGCAACTTAGCACGCACGTATGCGTCACAACTAAAATTGTGGTGGCAATCTCTTATTAGCAATATAATGTATTTAGCAATATCACAGTAAAATTCTGGTATTAATCACATGCACTGTCGGGGCCTTTGGTGAGTGATTTAAAGTGCACACTGTGGAATACTGTGCCTTAGAGGTTTGAAACTTTATCAGAACTACAAAAAGCACTGTATTGATAGTTAAGAGAAAATGAAATTGGGGTAACATTATATCAGTTTAGTAAATCATGCTTTAACAAATCAGGAAAAATCCTTGGCAGAAAAAGGCGGAGCAGAAGAGCAAATTGAGAGCTGTTCAGTTTACAAAACTTTAAACTTATCATTCCAGATAGTGTGTGTTCAGATGGAAAAAATAAAACCACAGAAAAGAGGGGATAAAAGGAATAAGGTCAAAAATGAAAATCAGTTTGCTATAATCCTGTGATGTAACTGCCGCCTAAAGATCCATATAATTCTTCTGTGCACTGAAGCAGGTGGAGTTGTTTTTGCACATTTCTAAACTATAAAGAATTAGAAATTAAAGGGATAATGTATTTTCATATTCGCACAGCGGCATGTCACAAAACAGGCAGAACTCAAGCTAGAATTTTTAAGTTACCAAACTAATTAAGTTGCCCACACAGAGTTTAGCAGAACTCGATATGTCAAAAAGGATCTATGGGGGAAAATCATATGATGTCATCAGTGAAAGGAGGGAGTAAAGTTCAATAGGAGGGCATGCAATGTAGAAGCCCATCAGTACCAGTTCCCCAAACCAGAGGTTCTCTGCCACCACTAACCTGGAACTAAACTGTGACTGGAGAGAAGCAGGGGACTTCCCAACCAGTCCAGTGATTCAGGACTGAGCATCACCCATGGTGGGAGCCTGTTGGCCACCCCGTTCTCAACAAGTTAACATGGCAGTAGGGGACGCAGGTGGCCTACCATTATTCTGTCTCCCTTTCTTTCTTAGTAACGGATTCCTGGGACATATGCCCAGTTGGAACATTTCCCCACTTATGACCTAAGAAGTCAATCGAGATAAGCAGGCATCTTTGATGAGGGATGCCTTGGAAGTGGGAAGGAAGAGGGCAGTGGGAAAAGTCATTTTGCCCTAGTCCTTCCTCTTTCCTGCCTCTTGCACACGAAATGGCTGGAACCACAGCAGCCACCACAAGATGCTGAGGATAGAAAAACATTCTAAAGGCAGAATAATGAAAGACAGATGGGTCTGGGTTCCTGATGACACCTGGAAGCCACTTTACCAGAACTGAGTTGCTTTTCTCCAGATATTTTTAATGAAAGAAAAAAACTTGAACAAAATGAAACAACAACAACAACAAAAAACAACAACCTGTTTATCTGACTCTAGCTATATATATTAAGTTCCAGAATTTGTGTGTTGTGAAAACTTTTAAAAGCCATCAAGTGTAACCTCTGCAACACAGTTATGGGAAAGAGCAGGAAGGAAAGGGTAAAGAGGAAGGAAGGGGAAGGAGACAGGGAAAGAGGGAGAGAGGAGAGAGATAGGCAAGGATGAAGAACTGGAGCCAGACCACCTGGGCTCTAACCTTAGCCCCTAATCTGCCACCCTGCTGTGACTGTGGACAATTGTCTTGTCTGACCTTGGGCCTCAGCCTCACGGCATCTCAGTTGCCTCATCTGTGAAATGGGGATTCTTGCATTTCTCCAGTTAATTCTGCTTTGCTGGATGTGACGATTGCCGCTGCTCCTAACAGCTGTATGAATTTGCCTGACAACTTTTGCTGTTGTCCCGTGTATCTCTCTTTTCGCTCTTACCCTCTGGCTGCCCATCTTTGCCCCACCTCCTGGCTTCCCAGAAAACTGCCACGAGGGGAGTCCCAGCCATGGTTTTCCCATGGCCACGCTGACTCATCTGACCTCAGGCTGACACACTTTTACCTTTCCTCTTTTTGAGACGACCCACAGCCTGGCGTGGGAGCAGGCCTCTCTTGGTCTGCATGATGTGCCAAGAGCTGTGGAGGGGGCTCGGGGACCCCACTTGTAAGCTCTTGCACACAGTTTTTTCAGAACCAGTGTGCGCTCAGCAATCAGAATAACTAATCCATACATGGGTTGAGGGGGAGGGGTTAGAGGGTGCTGAATGTGAACCAAAAAAATCTTCATCTTCCAAAATGGAAAGGCCATAGGTCATATCAGAAGTCGACCGATCAAGGGGAAAACTACAAACACATTTATGCGAGTTCTGGGGAGCAACCCATGAAGACTGAATAACAGAAATGCCTTGGAATGGTTGAACCTGGAGACAGGGCTTGAAAGTAGAGACTAGCCCTCCTCATGAGAAACCCTGCAACACAGTGTAGCTTGTGCATGGATTTTCTCATTTAAAAAAAAAAAGTGTGGTGGATCTGGATATCAAAAATATTGCACGATATTTTAGACTGATCTGTGCCATTTACAAGACAGATTAGAGGTTACGGTTTGTAATCATATTTTACAACAGATATAACATATAGTCTTCTTGCTTACTTTCATCAGTTTGTTAGTATGTTTTTAAATCACAGAATTGGGACAAAACCACAAGAGACTGGAAGAGAAGGAAATAGGGAGAGAAATAAGAGCTGGAAGCTCCCAATGAATTCAGCTGCCTTTAAAAAATACCAGCTTATGTACCTTTAGTTTTCATGTCCTTCTGGAAAAATTAAATTGGAACACTCTTGATCACTTCTTCATTTCATGTTGCCCAGTGTAAAAAGGGCAAGAGCTTAATGTGCCACAGACGAAAGCCGTGGGGCAGCTGGGCACACATGGGCAGGCGCCCAGGACTCGGGACAGCTGGCCAGGCCTCCTCTCACATTTTCCCAAGTCCACGGTCACAGGGAGCAGCTGGAGCTCTGAGGTGGGGGGGGGGGGGGACAGAGGAGTGCTTGCTGTTTTCTTCTGATTTCATGTTCAAAAAAGAGGAATATTTAAGGACCTAGTTTATTTTTATACTTCATCCAGAAAAAAAAGATCCTTTTCTACACTTGGAGAATTGGATTTCTTTAAAAGAAGAAGGAGAAGAAGAAGAAGGGGAGGAGGACGTAGGAAGAAAAGACATCACTCAGAGGTTGATCAGAGCTGGACCATCAGGGGTTCCCTTGACGGCCTTGGCCTCCCCTGGAAACATGTCAGAATTGAGGTTTCTCAGCCACACACACCCCCCCCCACCTGCAAGCATCTGCATTTTAACGAGATGCACAGGGGATGTGTGTGCATATGAGAGCTGGAGAAGTGCTGCTCTAAAGTAAGATGAGGTTCTAGAATGTTCGAGGCCATAGTTCTCCAACCTAACCTCAAATCAGTGTAAGTTCAATGCATGAAGCAGGGCATCCAAAGCTGGTGCTCTGGGACAACCCAGAGGGTGAGGAGGGAGGAAGAAGGGGGCTTCAGGATGGGGGGATACATGTATACCTGTGGCTGATTCATGTTGATATATGGCAAAAACCATCACAGTGCTGTAATTATCCTCCAATTAAATTTATTAATTTTTTTTAAAAGAATCAACTGGGAGCTTAAAAAAAAAATACTGATGACTGGGTCCCACTCACCCCAGATTAATTAAACAAAGCCTCTGGGGGCAGGGCCCAGCCTAGGTTTATTTCAGAAGTGCCCCAGGTGCACTCAACCGGTAACTGGGGTTCAGTGATCGAAGTAAGTGATGCTCAGGTTTGCCAGGCTGTCTGTCCTCACCGTGACCACCAGCTCAAGCATGAGTGAATCCCCATGGTAGCCTGGGACAGGACCAGGAAAACATGACCAGTGCTTGCATGGGACATGGTGGAGGGGGTGGATAACTCCATATAAACCCAACTTGGAGCCTATCCAGTTCCTTGGGGGAAATGTAACAAAAAGACTCCATCATCTAAATCTCTTTCTATCAAAGAGATGACCTATTTCTGCACAAAATGCTGCTGCATTGCAGAGTGAGAATGTTCAAACTCAGCTTCAGTCACATCCTGGAGCATTTTCCTCGAATAGGGTTTGAGAATTTAACCCAGATGGAGAGTACCAGGTAAGCCACCAGCCACACTTCCTAGAGCTTTGTAACCAAGACACACAATAACACAAGGGTGACAGAAGGTGTGCATGTCTGAAATACTTCCTTGCAAGCCTGGCACCATCCCCAAATATTAGGCTCTTGAAAGTGTTAGTTGCTCAGATGTGTCTGACTCTTTGCAACCCTATGGACTGCAGCCCGCCAGGCTCCTCTGTCCATGGGATTTTCCAGGCAAGGATAATGGAGTGGGTTGACATTCCCTCCTCCAGGGGATCTTCTGGACCCAGGGATTGGACCCAGGTCTCCCGCATTGCAGGTGGATTCTTTACCGTCCGAGGCATCAGGGAAGCCACAGGCCCTTGAGGCAAAGTTAATTTCCTGTAGATGCATGACCGGCTGCGTCTGGATTCTGCTCTGGTGAGTGGCAAGTGTTCCACTTTGGGACCACAGCTTCAAGGATGACATTTCTCCAGTTTGCTGCGGTTTTTATCCTTGGGAAGAATGCTTTCTTGGAATGGGTTTCCAGGAGGACCCAGTTCTGGTCATGGGTGCAGGTGGGAGGCACACTCTTGGCCCTGGGATGCGGGCCCAGCCACCTGTGCCCCAACCCCTGCCCCACGTCCCCCGGCCCTCGAGTTGCTTCCCTGGTACTGCCGTCCGGTGCAGAGGATGAGGTGGTCGTAGAGCACGACTTTCTCTCTCGAAACGATGACCTGCTTGGCTGCTCGGTCTATGGCAGTCATCCTAGCAACCACCACGTTGACCCAGGAGCACAGCGACATCAATTCATGATCTCTGTCATTATAGCAGTGGCTGTGGAGAGAGAGGCTCCATCAGTGACATCTGAGCAGCTGACAGCGGGCATTAATTAGACATCTGGTGAGCTGGTTCAGGGCCCCTGGTGGGCCGAGCCCATGCTCTTGCTGAGAACTTACAAGGACCTGGGCAGGCTAGGAGATTTGTCCTGTGAGACATTTAGTCGCCAATTGATATCTTCCTATTAAAGCTACATTGTTTCGCTTGGGGTAGGCCGGTCCACGCCAGGGAGGGTGCACGTGTGCCTCTGTGTGTGTGTGTGTGTGTGTGTGTAATCATTTCTAATACTCTTTTTTCCAATGCATGGCTGGTATAAATTTACTTTAGCTGTTGAACTGTCATGTTGACTGTCATCTTGTCATATTGACCACAGACTTGGAGTGAATGAGGATGAAGAAAGTGACACCTGAGGATCCCCAAAGGCAGGGGTCAAGGTCCAGAATACAAAGAACCCCGCCCATCTGTGAAGGCTTTTTGATAAATGACTCATTTCCAGAATAAGAGTATGGATTCAGGCCGAAACAAAACTTATTTTATTAAAGAAAGTGTCAATTGGGGAGTTATGTTTGCATCCAGTACAATCCCTGGGGACTTTGGGGAGTCCCTCCTAATGACAAAGGTGATTTATAGGGACCTCTGCTTCCATAGGAGCAGGTCCAGGATGGACAGGCTTGCTTCTCTGGGTTCCATTCGAGGATGAACACAACACTGTAATGGGAGAAAAGTAGATTTCCTGTGGCTTTGGGTTTATTTAGATTTCTGTAAGGGTTGTTTCCAGAAGCTTCTGGAGGGTGTGACCTCAGGTACAGGATGTTTTAATAACCCTGTTCTGAAGACCGAGAGTGTAGAACAGCAGAACAGTGAGAGTCTGTTTAAACCCAGGCTTCCCTGAGCCAGGGTCTGTGTCCCTACTCTGTTGCCAAGGAAACTGGGTCCTGGGGACTCTGCACCCCTTTTCAGAACTTCACCATCTCCACCTCTGAGCAGGAGATAATGACCCCTCCTCACCTACCTTGAGGGTTGTGAGGAATGGATATGAGAATGTAAGAGATGCTGTCTGGTCAAGTGGGATGCATATGTGAGGAGTATTAGTCCAGATAATGTTAATGATACACAATCCTGCTTACTCTGCTTAGAGGCAAACAGGATTCTGAAGTGGTAATGGGAGAACATTTTTTCTTTTTGATCCATGCGTAGAGTCTGCTCGCACCACACAAAAAGAACCCTGGTAATGGATACACATTAGACCCTGTTACACGGCCTGTGAAAGAGAAGCGAGTCTGCGCTTTGTATCTCTCCATGCAACAAAACTTAAAAAACAAGAAAATATCTTCTAAATAAGAAAAGAAAATAGGGGGATGACCTGTCACAGGGAAATAACAGAGAGTGAGATGAAATTCTTTTTTAAAAAGCCAGGTTGGCCATGGCTAATTCATTTCAATGTATGACAAAAACCACTGCAATGATGTAAAGTAATTAGCCTCCAACTAATAAAAATAAATGGGAAAAAAAAAAAAGCCATGTTGGTACCTTTATAGAAAAACAGTATGTTTAACTGATTTCGTACATTCACGAAGAGACCCATGAAGGACTGTTCCTACTTGGGACATCATCCATTCCTAATAGAGTGGTACTGTCAGCCATCCAAGATGGGGAAAAAATTAAATTTCGTTAACGCACAGGGATTTGTCACATGAGGATCTGCTCAAAGATGACAGCGCTCAGGGGAAATTTGGGAAAGGCTAAGATGAGTGTTATTTGTAATGACAGTCGGCCAGCCGTGTTGATAATTTCAGAATTCATATCTCAGAGCTCAGATCTGAAGCTCTGTCCAGCAGGCTGGCACTCAGAAACACTGGGGCTTTAGGGAACCTCAGGAAGCATGGAAAATGTGGGATGCTTCCTTTTATAGCCTGTGACCACACAGAATGACATTTCTCAGTTTAGGACATGACTGGGCAGGCGATGCCCATCCGTTTTGGATATTATAAATCATCCTGGACCTCCTTTAATTTACCCATCAGGTAGGTGAAGCTAGATACGGGAGGCTGTAAGTGTTCTGCCTGTAAAATTATTTCCTAAGCAGAGTAAATGAATATTAAGATTCTCACATGGCAGGGACCGTCTCATGGCTTGGAGACCAGAGAAATATCTCCACTAGGGTTCTCTGGGAGACAAGAGAAGAAACCAAAGAAGGGAGGTCAATGAAACTTCATGTTTCTCAAGTGGGCTTGACCCTGACACAGAAATAATATGAAAAGTTGTCTTCTTAGAACATTCTGGAGACAGGTAATGAGGAGGGAAAAAAAAAAGTAAAAATGCAAAGTGGCCTGCTGGCTCAAAGTTGCAGTGACCTCAAACCTAGAGATCAGAAGTCTTAGCCTAAGGTCCCAGGTGCAAAATTAGGAGCGAGCTCCAGGGGAATATTAATAATTTAAGTGTGGTGAAGACCTGCATTTCGTGGAATTGGAACCCTACAGGATGGGAAATGATCTCAGAGGTTTTCAGGAGGGTTTATTGTGACACTCCCAGAAGAAGGAGCATCGTAATTAACCTTCAGTGGTTCAGAGCTGATCGTCTAGTTAGCAGCTTTCTCCCTCTGCCTGTTCCCCCTTCCTCCCAGTGCCTCCCTTTCTGTTGCATCCCGGGTAAGTCATTAGCACTTCCACCAGAGGCTGGACAGTGTGGGGGCATGGGGGAAGGGGACAAAACATGGCTCTTCAAAAAATAGTAATGGCAATAATAAATCCAAACACTGGTTACGGAAAAGTTCAGAATTTGTATTGCGTTGGCCAAAAGGTTCATTCAAGTTTTTCCAGGAGCTAGTATGGAAAAATCCGATTGAACTTCTTGGCCAACCCAATATTTAGCATGAGGAATTTGAATAATTAGATTTACAGATGTCAGCGCACTTGCTATTTTTTAACTCCATGATCAGAAAGTTTCCTATATCGTGATCTGAGGACCATTTGAAAGGAAGCATCCTGTTGATGTTTCAATTTGTAGCTTCTGTGGGTTAGGATAACACGTTGGTCCCCATCCAGAAGCATCTTTTAAGGCTGGGTTATCTAGTCCCTGTCTACACCCTGGTGGAGGGGACTTTGGTAGGTACTTTTTGAAGGTAACCATCATCCATTTGACATAATTTACTGAGCACCTGCTAAGTGTCGAACATCATCCCAGACACTGGGACCCATCAGTGAACAAAAAGGCAAAAAAATTCCGGCCCTTGTGGAGTTTGCAATATAGCTGAAGGATTCAGAATCAACCATTTTAAAGGCAAATTGTATATTTACAAGGATTTCAGTAGTAAGGAAGAGAGCAAAGGAGGAGGACTGGAGTGTCCTGGAGAACTGGTTGCAGACAATTGGGTGGTCAGAATGGGTTTCGTGGAAAAATATAAGTCGCTCAGTCATGCCCAACTCCGCAACCCTATGGACTGTAGCCCACCAGGCTCCTCTGTCCATGGAATTCCCCAGATAAGAATACTGGAGTGGGTTGCCATGTCCTTCTCCGGGGATCCTCCAAACCTAGGGATCGAACCTGGGTCTCCTGCAACGCAGGCAGATTCTTTACCATTTGAGCCACGGGGGAGCAAAGACCTCCAAGGTGGGGACTTGCCTCTTGTGTTTGAGAATCATCAAGGAGGCTGGTGAGGCTACAGTGGAGAGAACAAGGGCAAACATAGTAAAAGAGGAGGTTAGAGGTGTCAGGAGAAAAGGACAGGCTTCAGACTGGATGGAGCATCTGGAACTTTCTGTGATGACAGAATCCTTCGGCAGCTGGCCTGTCTGATAGGAGAGCTACAAACTACATGTGGTTAGTCGGCCACTTGAAAAGTGGCTCAAGTAATTGAAGGGCTGAACTTTAATCCCCCTGAACTGTAATTAATTGGAACTTAAGCAGCCACATGTGGCTTGCGGGGGCTGGACAGAGCAGCTCCTGGACGCTGGTGAGCTGACATGATCTGATTCACGTTTCTGCAGCCTTTTTCTGGCGACTGGGCCGATAGCATGGATGGGGGGGGGGGGGGGAGAATAGGGGCAGAGGCACCAGGTGACCAACTGCCAGCCACACACAGGTCCCTGCAGCATCAGGCCGGCAGAGTCTCACTCTCTATCTGTTCTCTTCTGAAACACACCTGGCCTGGAGACTGACAGGAAACCTTGGCCAGGCCGACTGAATTACATTCCTCATGAGACAATGATTGGGAACATGGGTATTTCTTGGGAATTGTGTCATTTGGAAAGACAGAAAGTGAGGGAAAGGATTGACTGTCCTCACTCAGCCAGAACTTGGCATTAGACTGATTTTAACCCAAAACTCCAGTGAGGTTGGTTTAGCCAAGCATGATCCACAGTCAAATCCCTCAAAGCGCAGAGAGATGAAGTCCCCTTTGTGGTGGGGGCAGAATCTGAACCCCCATCGACCTGGCTCCAAACCCCGACCCTCTGACGGTGCTCTGATGATGTCCTTACCAAAACCCTGAAGTTTATAGTCTGGTTTTAAAAATACCAGGTCAAAATGAGCCTGGTTCTGATGGCAAGGTGGCTGCTGATTTTGTCACTGTCTGACAGCAAAATCAGCCTTTTTCACAGAGGAAAGAGGATCCTTCTTCATGGATCTAAAATTAACACCACCACCACCCCCCAACTGAGAACAATTTCCTCCCTCCTTCCTGGAGAAACTGGGACATTGTTTCTAGAGGTAGGGAGCCTAATCATGCCTGTACCCACGCTTTGCTCAGGAAATTAAAATGAGTGGAAGCTGAGTGATAATGAAATGGCATTTTCTAGAAAGGATGTTGTCAAAGACTGATTCTGCGGGGACAGAAACATTGATGCTTGCCTTGATCAGCTCCAAAGACCTCTGCTTCATCAACCTCGGGTGGTAGAGGGCTGGGTGGGTCTGAGACCCTCTCCCCAGGGAGGCACCCAACCTTTAACTCCCTCCAGCAGGTTGCCTGTTCTGATGCAAATACGGTCACCAAGCTCCCCTGCCCTGGAGTGTCACTCAGAACCTGAGTGTTGGTAGTGTCTGGATCCCAGATGTCTGGAACAGGCCAGCATTGTCCCAACCTTGCCATTCACTCTGAACTTGCATCTGCATCTCCTAAAGAGCGTCTAAACCCACAAGAAAAGCCCACCACTTCCCTTTTCTACTATTTAGCAGAAAAAGGACAGCACATAAATGAGGGCATTTAGGCTTCGGTATGAAAAAGTAGGGGAAGGATAAACTGGGAGTTTGGGATTAACAGATACACACTGCTATATACAAAATAGATAATCAACAAGGACTGACTGTCAGCACAGGGGACTCTACTCAATATTCTGTAATAACCATATGGGAGAAGAATCTAAAAAAGAATGGATATATGTATAAATGGATCACTGTGCTGTAACCTGAAACTAACGCAACATTGTAAATCATCTTTACGCTCATATAAAATAAACTTTTAAAAATGAAATTCATACTCATTTGCTAAAAATTTCCTTTGTTCATTGCCCAGAAGTTTTTTTCCTGGGAGTCCGTAGGTTGAAATCAAGGTGAGATTACTGAACTTCAGATGAGAGCTAAGGAGAAAGAAGAAAAAAAAAAAAGGTAAAGCACAATTCTGTGAAAGTTCATTGTAATTCAACTGAACCTTATTTCACATGTCTTCTAATTGTTGCTGCTTTCTTTGACAATAGCAACTCTTTTTGCAAAAACCTTTCAAGAGAACCAACCATTTAAAGGAGAAACAGGGCGTTGGAACAGCTAATGACACAAACTTCCCAAACTGCCATCCTGTGAAGGCAGATTATTAATTTTTAAAAATTTGCTTTTCAGAGTAAAACAAAATCAAACTGCAAATTAGGAGGAAGCAGGTAGATTTAGTGTAAGTCAAAATTGGGAAGATCTCCTGGAGAAGGGATAGGCTACTCACTCCAGTATTCATGGGCTTCCCTCATGGTTCAGATGGTAAAGAATCCACATGTAATGTGGAAGACCTGGGTTCAATCCCTGGGTAGGGAAGATCCTCTGGTGGAGGGCATGGCAACTCACTCCAGTACTCTTGCCTGGAGAATCCCCATGAACAGAGGAGCCTGGTGGGCTACAGTTCATGGGGTTGCAAAGAGTCAGACATGACTGAGCAACTAAGTGCATGCACACACACACACACACACACACACACACACACACAAGCAAAGTCTGAGTTTCAGATGACTTCCGAGAAACAGCATGGAACCCTAACCACCACAGTGAAAACTTGCTGAGTGCTTGCACTCAGGGGTTCTGCGAGGCCCTCCCCAAGTCCTTGAAGCAGTACTATTACTACCCTGATTTTATTGTGTGGAATGGAGGCAAAGCAATTCACCCAAGACAGTACACCCAGCAAGTCTGGAGGTAGGATGTGAACCAGGTCGTTTGGCTCCAGCATCTTCTCATCTAACCTTGGTCTTCACTGCCTTGTAAGACCCCAAACTGTGGACAGGGAAGAAAAGGTCATCTAATTCCCACAGTCAACAATAGATTTATGACTTTCAGATGTTTGTCACTATTCAACTCAGGAGGCCACAGCATCACAGAGGAGAGAATGCTGGAGGATTCCTTTCGAGAGCAAAGCTGCCTTATATTTATTCGCATCAGGCTTTCCAGGGCTCAAGGTGCCCTTATGGGCATCGTCATAGAGATTAATCTTCAAGACAATTTCTGCTGGGGGTGGGAGGCAGGTTTGCATTTATGTGTATTTCACACTGAAGAAAATCAAGGTTGGAAATGGTAGATAATTTCTTCATGGTCAGGAAGGTCAGAAGCAGCTGGACCAGAAATGAAAACCTTGCCTTCTGACCCCAAGTAGCACGCACTGCATTCACCCAGGTTTCCCGGAGACCAGTGGCCTGGGGGGTGGTGAGCAGTCTACTCAGCACACATGTTAAGTGGGCGCTTCTCAGCGCTCCGTCCCTCTAGGTTTCCCTGAAATATTTACAGCTCTCCTGCTGGGCAGATCTACCCTCCAGGTCAAGTCAGCAACATTTTCTGGGTGAGCTGATCTTCTCCTGGCCTTCAGCAGGACAAGGAAGGTAGTTTTTTCTCCCCTAAAAATCTCTTCTTGGTTCACCCCTCCCCTTATAGCAACCAATGTCAAAAAAGAAACCGTCTCCAAGTTAGAGAAGAACACCTGCCTTCCTCACCCAGGAGGGAACTGGAAAATTTCCAAACGTGGAAATGTTATCAATTTGCTGACAATCTGTTAAGTACCATTAAAAGCTGGAGCCTTTTGGTGAGGGCACACACGGCCGGCAGTGGAATAAACTCAACTGCACCTGACATTTAAAAGTAGCTAAATATTATGAAAGGGTCTGCTCTAAAGTCTCTAGGGATGTGTGTCATTTAAAGGCGAATATTCTTATTTGATACAAAGAAAACCAAGAACATCTATCCTCTAACAATAATAATTTTGAATCCATTCAAATAACATAAAGGTTACAATTAACCCCAACTACTTCAGGCTGCCAGTCTGCAAACACACCAATCATAGGCCTTTGATTTCTTACCATTTAATGGAAAATGCAAATAATAATACGTGTTTATACTCACGTGTGGTCAAAATTTATTTGGACTTTGGAGGCTAAGTGATCAAAATGTGGTTTATGTATGTAAATAACATCTATATGCAGGCCTCCTTCACATCTCTGTGTGAATAGGAGGCTTAGTGATTATTCAGCGATATCTTTTACAACAGAAACAATCTCTTTGGCACTGAATAATTTGAACTAACAACATGGACCACTTGTAAAATGACTTTAATTTGCCAAATTACTGCCCTGCATTGCCCTGAATTATGATATTATACAGTTAAAGGTTTCACCAAAAGGTTAGAGGAGGGGCATTTTCTTGATTTTTATCTATTCGTTAATTTTTATCTATTTTTATTTACTCCTCTGCTTTAGCTTCAGCCGAATTCCTTCTGTGTTCTTCCTTGTGGCTTCTCTGATTCTTCATCCACTCTTCAGGGTTGCCATTTCACCCTTTCTCATTCTCCTTACTATGCCCTGTCTCATTTTCAAGTGAGAATACCTCCCATGTCATAAGGAAAACAGAAAAGAGCCCCCAACCCTGGCAGGACCCTTCCCCCATTTCCCTTTTTGCCACCTCCATATACTCCAACAAGAGCAATCTTCCTTCCCGCTCCGATTCAGAAGAGAGAGGTCCCCCATTAACCCTGTCTCCTCTTCAAGCTCCCCTCCTGTCTCTCCCAGCAAATTTCTCTTCCAGCTGTACTTAAGAAACCTGAAAGTGACCTGTCTCGGGCTGATGCCATGCCATCAGCAGACCCTGCTTCTCTACTGCTCTGGTGTGCCTTCCATTCCCAAGGTCACCTCAGGTCCAAGGTGGCTGCTGAAGCTCCAGCCATCACATCCACCCTACATCCACACTACAGGCAGAAGGGAGGAGGAATGGGGAGCAAGGGCTGCTCTTTAAGGAGCTTCCCTGAAAGTCTCACGTGGCACGGTCCGTTGACATGGCAGAACTTAGTGACATGGCCTTCTGTAGCAGCCAAGGAAGGCTGGGAGATGTGGTTTTTCAAAGAGAAACACACTGGGCTTTCCAAGAACCACACTGCCCAGGGTTCTGTTATCAAGACAAAGTACAGAATAAATACTGGGCAGCAGTTAGAAGTCTCTATGCACTGACTTGTAAAGGAATGGTGGGTGGGAATGAGGGAAGATCCTCATATTATCCAGGGTCCAGGCAGGAAGTGGACAGTCAACTCCACAGGGTTTGACTGAAGAAAAAGGCAGAGATGTGTGCAGGGTTCTGGGGCTCACCCATGGACTAGCAATGGTGAGTAAGGTGCCACTGCTGATGGTAATCCTGAGGAGGGAGGGCTGGAGGACATAGGGATGGCTGGGGCCGTGGAGGAGGCCCCATCCAGGAGCTAACATGTAGAACTCTCAATCTGAGATGGCACTGTCTTGAGGTTCCCCTTGAAGACTGCTTTCTTCACCATCTTCTCCTCCATGGCCCATCTACCCTTTGCCAAGCTTCCCAGGCTCCATGCTCAGCCTGGGATTGACCACCATGACTTCATCTTACATCTTTAAATTATGCTTTTTTTCTGAGCTAGAAATCTAATTTCCAGATGCCCATCAGTCCTAATGTGGCCACTCCACAGGCATACCAAATTCAGTACATGTCTAAACAATGGGATGGGTCTGTGGCCCCCTCCCACTTCTCTCTCAACTTCATCAAAGGCATGGTCAACTGATCACCTTTTAAGTTGGGAACCTGGGGCTCCTACCCTCCCTCTCCTTCCCCACAACTGGTCACCACGTCTAGTTATGTTTGCATTGTCCACGTCTCTTGAACACCCAACGCCTGCCATTCTCAGGACACAACTGCCTTAGCTCACCTTCTTGCCTAGAGAAAACAGTCCCAGGGTTAGTCTCTCTGGCACAAGTATCTCTCCTGTCTATCTTCCTGGGAATTCTTTTTAAATTAAATCCAAGCTTAATTGTTCCTGGCTTAAAGTCCCCGTATCTACTCAACACTTTGCTGAATGCAGAGCAGTGTGGCTAAGACCATGGGGTCAGGGGTCAGATTGCCTTACTGGACTCCTGGCTGGAGCACTTTCTAGCTCTTTGGCCTCAGGCAAGCTATTCAACCTTTCTGTGGCTCAGTTTCTGGCCTGTGAAATGAAAATAATAAAGCCTCACTCCTCATATGAGGGATGTGAGGATGAGATTAAATAGCACCTATAAAACACTGAGAATATTTCCTGTTACAATGAACACTTTCAATGCATGTTAATTATTTTTATGACCAAAACATTAAGTTCAAATTCATGAGCCTGGTATCTCAGTTCCTATGTTTGGGGCATAACCTTGCCTCCCCACTGTTCTTTGAAAGTCAACTTCTTGCTGTTCCATGAAGTTCCTGACTCTTTCATGCCTTCATATGAAATTACCACCAGCATTTCCATTTAATCTCCAACCTCATATCTTTCTGTGATAGCTATCTCTGTCAGCCTGATTTAGAAACATCCAAATATTTAATTTCTTAAATTTATAACTGAGTATCAGATACTCTTAGTCATAATACTCTTAGTTATAGTACTCTTAGGTACTCTTAGAATACTCTGAGAGAGTTATAAAATACTCTTAGATATAATACTCTTAGATAGTTACAGTGGCCCAGACAGTAAAGAATCCACCAGTAATGTGGGAGACCTGGGTTCAATTCCCATGTTGGTAAGATCCCCTGGAGAAGGAAATGGCAACGCACTCCAGTATTCTTGCCTGAAGAATCCCATGGACAGAAGAGCCTGGCGGGCTACAGTCCCTGGGGTCACCAAGAGTCAGACACAACTGAGCGACTTTCACAAGAGTATCAATCCATAATCATCATACTGTTTACCATGTACATGTAGATCTTGGCTTTTCTTCAGATGAAATATGGAGATAAAACATTTAAGGCTTTTATTCTTTCAATATTCAAAATTCAATATTATTTCAATATTCAATAATCAAAAAGTTTCTGCACACAGAAGAGGGGGTCACGGGGGCATTTGAGTATGGACATGCGTTAG